ACAGATGAATTATTGTCACGACAGGTCAATAGTGATTGAAATACTACAATACCAGCGATTCGGACTGTTATTTTGAATAACGAATATTTTATTCTTGAGGTAGTATGAGTTTCGTTCAGATAGCAGATATGTCAGAACATGAATCGTAAAACGTAGAATAATGGCTTGTTGAAGATACCACCTACCTTTAGACACCAATAAACGTGGAATTTACTGGAATGATATAGGTTGTAAAATGTCATCAACACAGTTTTGAATGAGTATTTAGATAACACTAAAAAAACCTACCGTAATAATTTTATGGATGAATATACAGAGTGAGAGCTGTTTATTCATCGTCTTGATAATTTACTTCTAGTTTTAACGGTATTATCATATAAGTTTGTTTTGATACCTTTCAAACAAAACCTAACAGAAATCCTAACCAAAAATTTACTCAGATTAAAAATAAAACCAAATAAATGTATAATACTTTGTCATAAAAGAAAAACCACATTATACCGAATATAAAAACTGAATGAGAGAAAATTCTTATGAGTAAACTAGTGATGTATAATTATACCCTTTACTTCTTCCTTCTCTTCTAATACCGTTACCAGTGTCACTGGTTGAAATGAATGTAATGTGGTTTTTTTATGACCATTTGAAAGTTATAATTTTTACAGCGCATTATTATGAACAAATTAAAAAATAATAATGAATTTTATTTTTGTTCAATTTAAATATTCGAATTTGAATTTCATTGTTAGTGATTAGAATACTACAAATAATTTAAAATATTCTTCTGTAAAAAGAACATACAACACCCTATGATTGTTCTCCCCTCCCCTCCTTCCAGCCAAAACAATTTGGCGAGGCCTAGTGGGCCCTTCTGGAGAAGCAGCTACATCGAAGCACGGCACAACTACCAGAGCGAAATAGCTGTTTTGCATATATATATTTTTCTTAGATCTTGTCGTGTTTACTCCAGTAAAAATTGTACAATTTTTTTTGTAGCATTCGTAATCATTTGTGGGTATCGGTATAGTGGGTGATTAGCCCGGTCTCTACTACCCGGTTTATTGCTCAGGTTAGTTCATGGGACTAAATCACACTATCCAGGAGGCACGATGAGAACGCATGAGTCAGGTTTTGTTATATAAACATTAGCGATATGAGCTGTGGTAGTAGTGGTGGTTGCTTCAGTCAACTAAAGATATTTGAACAAATATTATGAATAAAAACCGTTTCACTAAGGTGGTAACCAAGTGGACTATTTCAACTTATTGTATATGAAATGGAAATTAACATAGGTTAAATGGATAACTTGACTAATTGTAGTTAAGCTCATCATGGTTCGCCTGGTTAATTCAAACTTTTGCTGTTAATAATCTTTCTCTGGTGACTTATCAAGCTGATGTGATCAGTTATTTCGTTGTATAAGTTGATAGGGGATCGCGAATTCTCCTCATTATAATGTGACTGGAGATAAAATTTAGGATACTGATTTTAGTACTGATAATGGAAAGTGAACTAAGGATCTAGTTCCTAGGTTTCATGAAATGTTTTTTTATTATGTTAATTTCGGAATCTCATTTCCTTAATTTCTTACAAGAAGACCAGACAGTACATTGCGAAAATCATTATACTAAAACCAACTTGGAATAAACAATAAACGAATTTTCATAAATGCGTTCTATTAAACAGTTACAGAAACCTGATTATTATTATTATTAGTTTTATTCACTATTATATTTTCGGTACAATATAGAATTTCCAGCACAAAGTATTACAACAAGTTTCCGTTTCTTACTTCTTGGCCGATCCTCACGATAAATGTTGAGTGATAGGCAGTTAGAAGTTAGCAGTCCAGTCAATTGACATCTAGATAATGTATATTATTCACGCTGCCTATTGCCTGCAACCACGATATCTCTGATTGGTTTTTTTTAACTTGTATAACGAAAGGTTGTACACTTTTCAAAAACGCACCTGAATAGGTTAGGAGAATAATAGCCATAATAATGTATTAAAACAAACAAAGTTGGATAACTTGTTGAAATATCTAGATGGCAGGAACGGATAGCATAGATGTTTAAGCAGGCCGCCAATTTTAATCACCCAGGGCTATGCAAATATGCTCCGAAGACACGTTAGATGAGAAACTATCCAAGCTTTAACAAATATTTATCAAAAATGCCTATCCGTCTAGGTTTATTGAAAGATGAATAAGATTTAAACCACAGTCTGTAAGAACTCCTACAGTTTCTAAGAAAACTTTCTTTATGAACATTGAGTTCAAGGGAGACACTGCTGCGGAAATTTTGATAGATCGTCTAACGAAATTTCAAGGAAAAACTTTTTATGCCATTAAGCTTCTCATCGTCCTTCCCAGCCGCTCCATCATTTGTGGATTTGTCAATGACAAATTCTCTCATTGGGCCACATCAATGTGTATTTAAAAGTTCACCTACCCTTGTGAAACAGGTCCATTGGTCGCACGATTTGAGTAAATTTAAAACGAATCTTTAAACATTAACCTGAATGGTTTTTTGAAGGCGAATGTAAAATCATCAAGAGTTCAATATTAAAACCACGTACATTAATGACTTATGCAATGCATAGCTGTTTATTTGTAAATTGACAATAAAAATGTTTGTGTAACTAGGGTAAATGCTATCAATAAAAAGAAAGTTTTCTTCTCTCAATCGTCTTTAATTTTTCTTTAGTGATATAATGGGTCACTTTCGTCATGTTAAATTCTTAATTAACGCATGAAAAATATGTAGTATTTAAATCTTTGTCTGTTTGAAATTAAAAACACCATTGCTCATAATAATTAACCCATAATTCATATTTCTTTTTTATGGAAAAATAAAATGAATACCTATAATTTAGGCGGTTGTACGTCTAATGCACAACGAAAAGCAAATATTTGATGTTTGGTCTGAAAGCTCTCCATGGGCAACAGCTACAAATCAAGGGATTCTACAAATGTATAAAGGTGATCGTGCATGGTTGGCCATACGTGATGGAGCTTATTTTCTACATGGTTATATGTATTCAACATTCTCTGGGTATTTATTGTTTGATATAAATAATAATGAAACAATTGACATCCCATAATTTGTCTAATTTTAATATTGACATTATTAATACTAATAATAACCAGGAGATTGAATATTCGCATTTTCCAAAGTCCCACTGAACAAATGTTAAGCTACTATTTACAATACTGTATTCTAAAAGAGAATTTAGGAAAATAACTTATAAACTACCGCTTCAGTCACTTGCTGATAAACTTCGTGTTATTTTACAAAACATATCTACACACCAAAATATTTCTTATTCTACCTCAGTGTTGATCTCCATGAATATTCTTCCGTTTTAAAATTCACATAATAAATCTATGGGATAAAATACCATCTTGATTTATACTATATTAAAAAATATATCTCCAGCTACAAACAGACGGCTCATCTATCATTCTGTTTAACAGACTTATTTGGATAAAACTTATCGAAAGTCACATGCTCAAACTGATTCTTAATTCTTACAGTTACAGGATTTAAAACGTTCTTTTTTTGCTGTCAAAAAAATGCAATTAACTGTTCACAGAAGCTCATAATGAAGAAAGAATAATTTACATGCAAAGTGAACCACATATATTTAAAGATATACATACTAATGTAATTATATAGTTCAAATAGCTTAGAGTTTAACTGTAGCTCATATTCAAACAAATAAGAAATGTAGGGCTTTTCAACTAATAACTAGTGTCAAAGAGTATATAGGTATCAGTGATAGTTTCAAATAATTTGAGCATTGAGTAGAAAGTTGATGATAAATATATTTTTTTTGTGATAACTCAATGAATAGAAAAGTGCATTTCTGACGTTTTGTGACTTTATGTAAGTCACTTCTTTAGAGTGAATAAATAACCGAAATAAAATTAACACAAGTACAAGACAAACAAAGTAATACATATTTAGTATAATCAAAATCATAATAGGTCTAAACATGTCAATGTCAAGTTACGTTTTAAGCCAAGGTGATTTTATAAGACATACCACTATGTTCATTTGTACGTTACAATGTGGGCATAAAAAATGTTTGCATGAAGTGATGGGAATGAAACTAGGTGTGTGTGCAGACTTTGTGAAAAATAAATAGGTTTGAGTGTGCTTTTTGGATAAACAGTCCAGGTTGAATGGATAGCCAAGCCTTCTTTCTCATGGAAGGCAGAAGGATTTAGCATTATGTGAAACGCTTCGGCTACTCGCTTCCCTTTATAGTTGGAAAAGCTTTTCTGAATTATTTTGATATTTTTAATATCAATTTTGTGATTGCTGAAAATAGGATGTACTGCTGTTCCTGATGTGATTCAAATAAAAGTAAATATTACACAATTAGTGCCAGAATTTCATTAACGTAACTCATGGTTATTATCAGCACTTAACAAAACTAGTGAAATGCTGAGAACACATTGAAGCAAATATATCAATAAGGAAATCAACAGTGATTGTCTATTGGACCGTGTGAAAAACCATGAGTTAACTAGTAACTAGCAGGCAATGTGTAATTAGAAGCATGTAAATTTTAGATAAACTTTCTTGTATTACACTGAGTTGTAGTTGACTAATTTAAATTGTTAGATTTTAAGGTAATTCGTTATAGGTAACTATTGGAGATAATCTATTTTTCATTATTAACTTGTTTCGAAAACGTAGCTATTAAAAGTATAAATCATTCATTTTACCTAGTGATTATCTTTACTTTATGTTATCTGTTTTCACTGCTTATAACTGTACTAAATATCCACTGACTAGCTTATATTACTTCGCGCAATATATTTGTATAATATTTCAATGATGGATTTGTCTACCACTTAGATATTAGTAGACAAACCCATCACAAATTTATATATATATATATATATATATATATATATATATATATATATATATATATATATATATATTCCAAGGCCGAAATCAGACAAGGCTGGTCACTCTTGTCCTTTATCTTTCATCTGGTAGCCGCTTGGATTACGAAGACCTCCATATCTCAGGGGCAGCACGGAACACAATATACAACTAGCATCCAGAGACAATCCGAAGACGACCTTGCTCTTCTGCCTCACATACACCAACAAATGCAGAATAAAACAGCAAGTACATCAGGAGCCTCCGAAGTAGTAGGCCTCAACATACACAAGGGAAAAATTAAGATTCTGAAATACAACAGAATGAACACCAACCAAACCAATCACACTTGATGGAGAAACTCTGGAAACTTTCACGTACCTGGACAGCATCATCGATGAACAAGGATGATCTGATGCAGACGTAAAGGCAAGGATTGGAAAAACGATTGCAGCATCCCTATAGTCGGAGAATATATGGAGCTAAAAACAATTGTATGCATGCTAATATCAAAGTCAGAATCTTCAAAATGGATGTCAAGATAGTCCTACTGTACAGAGGTGAAACTTGGAGAACTACTACAGTCATCATCAAAATAGTAGAAGTATTGATAAACAATAATTTACACAAGATACTCAGTGTTCGTTGACCGGATGCCATCAGTAGCAGTCTAATGTGGGAGAGAACAAACCAGCTTCCGTCTGAATAGTAAATATGGAAAATAAGTTGGAGGTGGATAGGACATACATTGTTGAAATCACCGAACTGAATCACGAGGCAATCACTAACTTGGATTCGTGTAGGGAAACGGAAAAGAGGAAGACCCAAGAAAACCTTGCTTTGGGAATTGGAATCAGATATCAAAAGAATGAATAGCAAATGGGAAGGATTGCACAGGACAGGCTTGGATGGAGAGTGTTGGTGAGTGGTCTATGGTCCTCTACGAGGGATAACAGGAGTAAGTCTCTATCTGGGACTTAGTGAAGATGAGAGAAGGCTGTTAGTCTTTCATTATAATAGTCAACTCAACCGTTCGGAAATATTACCTTGTTTGTGTAAGTACCAGCTAATTTAAAGACATGAGCACACCACCTTATTTTTAATTATACAAAACTACTGTCTATAATATATCGGTATTACTTACCTTTAAAAGTAAACATTCAGTTGGTGAGTACTAAATACCTTTTTAAGAGAAAAAAATTGCCGAGTAACTTCGTTAAAGATGCCATGATCATTCGAGCAACATAAAAGTAACAAAAAATACGAATTAGAATACATGTCATTGTTGAAACTCCAAATAATCTCTGGAAAACAAGCTCACTACTTGTAAGTAGTTCGGCAAAGTACGTTTATAATTTCAAGAACGTAGTCATCATTACTGTAGCCAAGTTAGCTTAACTGTCCCCATCAATATCCACATTGAAAAAATTGAAAGTGACTAAAAATTAGGGGAGAAACCAAACCTTACTGATGGCAGTGTGTTTATTTCTTCTGATAGATGCTCACGAATAAATGACACGTAGGACTTTTTTAATTACCCGAGAGATATTTCACATTCATTTTGAATTTGGATAGACTTTATTCGGTCACTGACAAACCCTACAAACATTGCCACAGAAATAAACGGCAACCGTACGTATTAAGGTTTGCTTGAATTCAATTATATTTCAGTATTATGTTCTCCGAATCGAATAAATGGAAATAACTTGAAACTGTCCATACTCATCTGCATTTATGATTAACCTTAGTCTATAACCTACAAGTTGACATTTTGAAGTGATTGTGTTTTTTCGGTCGCATACATAAATGCATTATTATATCATTAGATATATTATTGCCATACTACAATGAAGAAAAATGTTTGTACCATCACCTCCACAAACAACCTCTTGGTTGAAGATTAACCATTCGGTTCATTGAACCCTGTTAATGTTTTAAAGATACCTAAGAACGATCTCAGCGAACTCTATAATTAGTTCATGAAAACAAAGCCTTTGTTCTCAAAGAAGCGTGTACGCTAGTAAGCCATACCTACATACACATCGTTGTAGTGCTTCTTATTAAGAGCACAGCAGAAATCATAGAAAAAATTGACCACTTACCAAAGGAAACTTCACTTTATTTTTTTTCTGTTCAAGTTTTTTCCGGTCGAATATATGTTTATAATTTTCTACGTTCACGATACGTTGTGGTGGTTGACAGTTAATTAGCATTTATGCAAACGAAGATGGGGAGAGGGCGACTTTATCTGATGTTATGTTAAAGTGTATTTCATTTCTCAGGCTGGATCAAAGATGTAAACATTAGAGAACATACTACGTTATCCTCAGATCTGACAATAGTTTTCACACATGTTAAATATACGGAAAGTCAGTCAGATGCGAAAAAATAGTGTAAAATGAAAGACATTGCGATCTAAGTAGACGTTTTTAAAGAATTACAATCAAAATTTATCGAGTGTGAATCCCATCTTTGACAGGGAAATATACAGATAAGGTAATACGATAGCGGTGGGTTCTGTTACGATGGGTGGTGTTCGAGATCTGACATTGATACACAATGTGCTACACTCCAACACCCACTTGACTACTTGAGCGAGAACACAAAAGACGAGAAAGTATATTGACTGCCGAATAATATGCACAAATACCCATTTATTCATAAACATCTCTACTCCTTGGAAAATCAATCCATCTTTTAACCAACGGTATGCATTTGTCCTTCAGGTCATTTCAGATTGTAATCACGTGACCTTCTCACTTGGATACTTCTAATAGGTTCACCATATGTAGTTCTCCACTGAGATCTTATGTTGGCCGGTAACTTTCTAGTTAATCTAGAAGACGAATTACTTGTATAACATTGAAAAGTTCTCATTTTACTGACGAACTGTGAATGTCGGACTTTCATTTTTCAAAAGACACATTGATTGTTAGAGACTATTTAACGAAATCTATCCATCTACTAAATTCACTTGCGAGGAAGAATATCAAGACAAAATAGCATTTCTAAATGCAATGCTTACTAGGAGGGTTGACAGATCACTCGGAAGGAACTCAAAAGGCTACTTAACAAGTAAAATACATAAACTTCTCTAGTTCCGTCCTGCTACAGTATAAGAAACCTAGTGAAAACTTTCATAATGGGACGGTGGCCATATACTCTTTAGGTACGATTGATGAGGAAACAAATGCTTTATGTAATACGTTAAGGGAAAACGGGTTCCCTGTGAAGTTTATAAACAAGTAATTATCTAGACAAAACACGAGGTTCCTTTTGTATCTATCAATCCAACTGATTGTGTAGGGCTGGTTACATCGACAGATAATCTACAAAATTACTTTCACATACTTACGAACACCTTCCAGCGTGGTTAAGACATTTAATAGCTCGACACAATACCATCTAGTCGAAACGAGTTATACAATCAGGGTGAATAAATCAT